CTTGCTAGGGTAACCCTCCCTCCTTGTAAACAGGCCCTTAAAGTCACTATCTGTAAAAGTACTCGGGGGATTCGCCATACAGGAGAACTTGCGTCTGCTGCCAAATTTAGCAGCCAGATGAAACTCTTGCTTGGACGTTTTGTGATAATAAATTGTTCGTGAATAGTCTTACGCAGCTCGTTTCGTCCCGGCCAAGGGACTCATCAGAGACCTTTCTGCTTGGCAAACTCGTTGGGCATCGCGCTTTAAGTCCCATTCGCTAACAAAATGATGACAGCAATCTCGCCTTATATCGCATGAGGATTCCCGACCGCACAAATTCACGAGTGAAAATTGACAATAAACTAACTACTGGGAGTGTAATATTCTTGTCAGAAACATCTCGATGGCTTCGAATAAACACAGCTTTACAAACACTTCTTGTTATTCAGGTTTTATCATTAATTTGTTTATTTCTGTTTTAATCAAAACTATAAAAAAATATATCGATTCTAATTGGCTACCAGCTGGGCTGATTTAGCACAAATAGGACAGTGTATGCGTCACGCATATAATAGGTAGTTTACGAAACCACGACGGCAACGGCAACGGGAACGTCACTGAGAATTAATGAGCAGTACAATGGCTGTGCACGTGCGTTATAATTCTTGGTACATTTCTTTGCCGTCCTCTGCAAAACAACAACGTGAAATGACCAAATTTTGCGTTCCCTGGAGAACGTGAACCACGACAGCTAATTTTTTAAATTTTTACTTCAAATTTATCGCTATGTTCCGGATTTAGTTTTGCGATAGTTTTGACAGTGATAAACAAAGTAAATGACTTAAGAGTATCGTGAGATTCGTAGGTAAAATATAAATTCATTTTTTAATCAGCGTTGTCCTCGGCGTCGGCGTCGTGGTTTCGTAAACTCCCTAATATTTAGACGGTAGAATACGCGTCTCTGTATTGGACTAGGACTAGCTTGTAGTGGAGGCTCATGCGAGGGAATGTCATAAAAAAGGGATAAAAGTTATTTAATTTGCATTCGAAAAGTCTTCGCGTATTAGCCTCAGTTGAAAGCTATAATTGTAGTTCCAGACAAATACTGAGAAAACGAAAGTGGTACATTGGACAAGACGCGCCTTTTTTAAGACAGCTTTACAAGGAGGCTTAAAATTTTCTCGTGTATACCCGTTAAGAAACGAACTTAGGCTCCCTCCACACTACGCCGTAGAGATTTGAAAACGCAGTATTATTTCTACGATTAGGCCTACCTTCCACACTATTCCGTCACGAAAAGGGAGCTTTGGCGAAAATGCTCTTCAAACCGGAGAAATTATGTGGACGGAAAACATTTTCAAAACAGAGCTTTTCGAAAACGCTGACATTACAAAATCGTGCGATTTCCTTTGTTTTCCTCAAACATAAATCCAAAATGACCGATGATTGTTGCGTTTTTAAATTTCTCCGGTCTGGTGTAGGCGGGAACTTAGCTGTTATCCTTTTATTCATGGTCACAGTTAGGGTTGTACAATTTTTGTCGTAGATAATTTTTAATTAACTGGAATCATTCTTCTTGTTGTCCAATTTGGTCTGTATGTTCGTGATTTCAAAACAAATCACACTCGATCTCCCCCGAGAGGTCGTCCGATTTCGCTAATCACTCGTATGATAATAGACCTTCAATTTAGCTTGGGCGGATTGTTGCTCCATTTCAGACCATCTTGAGAATGCTTGCTTTCAAATTTCAAATAATCGATTGCGTGTATATGAATGAATAATTTTGGGGATGGATAAAAGAACAATTCTGTAGAGAGTATTACGTGGTCTGAAATGGGAAACAAACCGCTCAAGCTTAAGAGGTCAATTGGACTCCACTAACCACTATCAGTAACTAATATACCATTGTCACCTTTAACTGTTATATATGTATCTTTTTCTTATGCTAATATTGTAATTTCAAAATGTAAGTGCAAAATGAAGTGATGTTGAAGTTGAAGTTGAAGTAACAGGGGCGTGGTGTGCATTTTACATGGAGTACGCACCGAGGAGGAAATTGATCGTGCGCCGAAGGCGCGAACCGCTGGGAAGGTTTAGGGGCATGCATCCCCAGGGAATTTCTATTTTTAGGGGCTTGAAACTGCCATTTCCTACGTTTTACAGGGAAGAGTTTCGTAAACTAAATAAAGGAAAAACGTCGAGCGTTTAGAAACTTATAACTAGACTGCAATGTAATTATTAGTTGCATTAATTACATTAGAGTCCAAAATCTCATCAAAGCGCGTACATTTATTTGGAAATTTTACAAACTGCGTAAATTAATTCCTAATTTGGGTAGGTGTCCAAATTGATAGGTAATATTATTATATTGGTAGGTAGTAATGCTGCCAATGATGGCGCAATAATTTTGTAAAATTACTTAGTTAAGTCGAACCTCTCCACAACGGCCATCTGGGGGACACTCACTGCGTTCGGTATTACTCACGACCTCGGTCAAGATTCTCCCATACAGACCTCCTGCTTGGTTAATAAGAGCTAATTATTACCCGCACTCTGGACGTCTACGCTAAACTTCTTTTTCTCCCTTGACGAGGAGGACAAGGGAGAGTTCACTAATCGGGTTGACCATATAGCAGAATAACACAGCTTAGGTCACTTTAAAAAATTCCCTTCAGGGAGACCAAATGTCTTACCACAGAGGCATTTCTTAACAGGGGAATCTTAGCATTGGCAGCCTATAATCTTCTTCAATTTCACCGTTCCAGCTTGCATAGAGACGTTTCCATAGCACTGAGACCGGTAAAATCCATACCGATCTGCTCGTCAACAAGAATAACAGCCACCTTACATTAGTATTACTTCTTGATCTATCTGGAGCTTTTGATACTATCGACCATGCATGAGATCTTGCTTCGAAGACTACGGGCTTAATTCGAAGACTACAGTCTACGCTTGCTATCAACGGGTCTGTTCTGTCCTTAGCTTGTTCTCATCGTACCTTACTGATCGGTCTCAGTGTATCTTTGTCACTGAAGTGCTGTTCGAAAAATTAGCTCTTCCCTGGCTTGTTCCACAAGGGTCCTACCTAGGGCGTCTTCTCTTTATCATTAAGGTCAGTAAACGTTTTGAAATCTTGGATGCTCATCTTCCTAATGTGCATGTCTACGCTGATGACTGACGCAACTTTACCTTTCTTTTCCACCAGATGATTTAGCCAATCAGACTCTCGTCTTTGTTGTCATGGAGCGCTGTATAAGTACGATCTGAACTTGGATGTTGAACTGTTCGGTATCAGTAATCGAGTCTTGATGAAATGAACGCCTGGGTTAGACTGGATTTTCCCTAAACGACGCGGCAAATTATGGAAATAAAAATCCGATGAGGCGCTAAGCTTAGCAAAATGCTGACTCATCTTCATTTAGTGTTAATCCCACACACCCACATTTTCCACAGCGGGAACAGTGGTAATGTATGGAACATCAACTCTAATGCTGCACTCGTTGATTTTGGCTAATTGCTGTCTTCTTTATGGTCTATCTGTCTGCCAAATTCTGAACATAAAACTGACGCCTTCTGTCACATCTCTCCTCAGTCTACTGTTTGAACAACACTGGCTTCCCTGAGACAGCGCATTATATTCAAGATCCTGCTTCTCACATTTGAAGTTAGTCATGCCTGGGCACCTTCATATATTTGCGATCTTATTTGTGTTGCTTCACAGGGGCGTTACAAACTTTGCGCCAAGAAAATCAAGGAATTTTGCTGCGCCATCGCAGTTTTATTTCAGAGAAAACACCCGGTGACCGACGGTGCATTCATGATCGCTTCTTTTAAACCTTGGAACATGCTTCCAGCTAATGCTAGGAATGCCTGCCCTGTGAACAACTTCAAAACTCTCGTCAAGATTTTCTTGTTGAAAGAAGCTTTTTCATTTATTTATTTATTTATTTATTTATTTTAGCATTATTTAATTATTATTTTTTTTAGATCGTTTTGTTTTGTTATCCAACGACTTATTTTAAAGTCATTTTATCCTCCACATTTAAATTGTCGTTAATGTAATATAATTTTTATGCAATTTTAACACGTGACTGAGCATTAAATAAAATTCTACGCGTTATATGAAAACTGCTAAAGTTGCGATAATTTCCCCGAGCATCAACGAAAACTAAAAGAAATTCAAGAGGTTAAAGGAAGGCCCGAACGAAATCTACAAAAATTACGAATTTAACGGAAATTACGAAAACTGTTATTGATTGATTTATTGACTGATTGTGAAAATAGCGGTAATTTTTCTAGATAGTCGACAAAAACGAAAAATTAATTTAAGAAAATCTCCAGGACTTCCTTCAGAGGACTGGGTTCAAGTGTTTTTGTAATTTTGGTGCGTTCTACACATGCGCCTATAAGTTCTTCCTTTTCCGTAAGGTGGTATATACCAAAAAGTATGGCGATGTTCATGAAAAATTCAATTTTTTAAAAAATACAAGATTTAAGACCCTTGAACACTTGTTAAAAACATTTTGAAACGATCCTGCCGAATTTACCACTAGGTGAGTGTGAAATTTAAGGAAAGTACACAGTGGTATAAGTTTTTTACGTAGCAACGGCTCTTTACGGTAAGAACATGACCAAAAATATAGATTAGTTCAAATGTATATGAACGATACTTTGTAGTAAAGCTGTAAAGAGATGCACAACGCGATTGGTATAATTACTTGGGGAAAGCTTTGCCCGATTTACCATCACAGGCTCATTCATTTCCTTTATGAAAAGGAACATTTCCTACAACTGCGGAAACTTTTTCCAAAATAAAACGACCATTTCACCCCACCCCCCGAGGTCCAATCTGCACCTCCACCCCCCGCAATGTTTGGCTTGTTAAATGTTTAATCCATCATGTAAGAAACTTTAAGTGCATTTTTCTCAATGGTCTACTTTTGTACCAACTGACTTCACGCCAGCATTCCTTCTTTGGAAGGGTTTGTTAAGAGAAATTCCTGAAGTTTGGGGTAATCAAAGACCAATAGTGTCGTGATAAAATTAAGTAAAAAAAATCATAACATTTTAACGTCTGTCACGTGACATGAGATAATTTGTTCGCTGGGTTTGGTGCAAAATAAGGTTATTTCCAAATAAAGCCTATAGAAAGCACGGAAAACAACATTTAACTGAAACTTACAAGATGTGTTTCGTGATAGAGCAGGAACAGTTGGCGTCAATGCTATAAATTAAAACCTCAGAAGGCTGTGGCTGATTGTCATAGCAACCATTTTCAGTAAAACCTTGAAAATTTATTTTCCCTTGATGAGTGCAATCGCACGCAATTGACCTTTCTTCACCATATTTAAACAAACTTTTTGGTCGATTTTAGGGGACCATTCCACCTTAAGTTGATGAAGAGGACAATGCAAAGCAAGGTTCACTAATTGTGTTCTCCATACAACAGAATCACACAGCTAATTGACTTAAATTATCTTCAATGAAACCATTGTTTCGCTTCATAGTCATTGCTAAACAGTGGAATCTTAGAGTTGGCCAGTAGGTCGTACGACCTATCCACGAGTCTGTATCCCATCAGATCCATTGTGCGTCGGCAGTAACGTTCAATGATATCGATTTCGTGTGGATGTACTTTCCATCTCCAGCGATTGGCCGCGGCCCATGCATCATCCTTGGTGCACGTGACAAGAGGTCCGTCCAGCTCTTTATCGCAGTCCTTCCTGCTTTGCTGAGTGGTTTCATTCAGCCAAGTGCGCACGCGGTCCAGCACAGGTAACCCAGCAAACTCGTAAATGTCTGCTAGCACATTGAGTGGTTCTAAAGCGAGATCCTCGTATCGAAGAAGTTTGATCCGGTGCCGTAGCGAATCCGGTAGTTTTCTGACTAACTCCAAGTTGTCTTCCGTTTCCTTACATTGCTTGTAGCTATAGAGTCGCGTACCCCAGTGAGCGTTGGGATGTCCTTTCTCTTTAAAGAAGCCGATATTAAGCGAAGACGGGATCATGGCACGAGGATCTCTCACTAGAAAAATAACTTTACAGTCAACATCCAGGGCACCGCAAGCAGTCAAAATGTTCTTGATGCTATATTCAGGAATGCGCGACATTAGAATCTTCAGAACAGTCAAATCATACTTGTCCTTACAAGCACTTCCCAGTGTTTCGCTGGTCATGGGCTTGCAAAGCGTCGGACTCCATCTTGGATCGGTCATCTGATAAGGGCACAATGGAGGCGATCCGATGGCATGGCTAACCCGCGGATGCTCGGGTTTTCGGTAATACTTCTCAATATCATCCAAGATATCTGGGTTATCGAACTTACAGCGAAATACGCCGGTCAGGAATTCTTCGGCGAGGCTGCTGTATCCCGTGTCATTAATCTTCAATTTATTCTGAACTCGTTTCGCCGTTTGTAATGGCTCGTACATGTAAAACACAGAAGGATGGTGGTTGAAAATGTCACCTGCCAGGGTAGATCCCGAGCGGCCATGCGACACAATGATGAGGTTCTTCCGCGCTGTTTTTTCTTTATCACCGAGCAGTGCCTTGTACTCGGTAAAATCATATCCTGTCGCTATAGGTTGCTGTATTTCATGAAATTCATAAGGCTGAGTTGAAAAGCCAACAAAATAGACACCCAATAAAGTGAACGTAACAAAGCATACCCGTAGCAACTTCGACCTCAACAAGCTTGCTGGTCTGATCCGCCTCATATTCAGTAGTTTTCTCGGGAATTAGCGAGACAAAAAATGCCACGCTCGAGTTTGCGCCCTGTAATGGTACAGGTAAGTGGGTGGACATTGCCTTTCATAAATTCTGTTTCCAAGGAAAATTGAGTCAGTTGTGAAAAGCACGAAGCCACTATTTCGTATGCTCTGCTGGATGTTGTATTCAGGAATAATTTGACAACAGGAGGAAAAAAGTTCTAGCTAGTTTACGCTTAAGCCCTATATTAAAACCGTTTTGTTTTTTCTTGGTCAGAAGCGATTTTCACCGTTCTTGAACATGAATTTAATGAAACGCTACGTTGGTAATTTATGTTTCCTAATCCATGAAATTAAATGTTAAACTCATTTCAGATGTAGAATATCCAAACTAATAGGCAATGTTCACTTTTCTTTTTCTTGCTGGCTTTGTTATCTGTTTCCGATAGTATTTTTCTCCTCAGAAAGAGTTGACCATTGTTCTTCGCTTTGGATTATTGTATACTAAAGTACAGATAGAAGAATTGTATTTCTTATGTTTACTTACATGGCTTAGTGTTAGTTTTAGATGAGTTTATTTCTCAGGATTTCAGTTAAATCGTCTATTTAGCGTAACGATAAGAGCTTTTCTTTGTTATTTTCTCATCAAGTCTCTCATCTAAGTATGTTTAGTTATTTCTAAGACAGAATTGAAAGAAAGTGCATTTGCGTTTTATGGTAATTATTTTCCTGTAAATAAGCCCTTCAGAAATTGAGAAGCTTTTGCTCGTTAGACATTTTTCTTTCATTAGTTCTGTCGTCAAGGTTTTTCGCTAAAGTTGCTTAACAGAAAAGTGCTTCACTCGAATGAATAATTGACGTTTACCTAGTTATACCGACACAGAAATGACATCGCTAAGTTAGATAAATAAACTCTGCTTTCACTGATTTCATTCAGCTTATTATTGATACAGGCTAAGAAAATTTCATTTCATTCTCGATCAAAAACAAAACAAGCAAGTACTTAAATGGAAAGGATATTATTCTGTGACGGGATTCAATATATAATATTTATCTTCAATATTAATGCTTAAATGAATAAACAAAA